TGTGGTAGACATTTACTCCACTTTTCAGATTGAGCGTTATTTTGTGCGTCTTCAATAGCCTTTGCCAAGACTCTAACTTTCGTATAGTGAGCACGGCAACCCTTATCATCAGGATCAAGCCGAAGGCAGTTGCGAATTTCCTCAAGGGATCTGGCTGCAAGTCCAGCGTCGTACATGAGCATAGCCACCCGAAGCATTCCCTCACGATTGTCGCTAACCATATGGACACTTTCACGAAGTTCCTCTATTCCCTACGCATTTCAATGTGAGAAAAATTTGAGGACTTACCTTAATTTGGTCACCGGTTTTGATATTACATAATGCACGCATCTCATGAAGCTCACTGCTAGATGTGATCGTTTTCATTAAATAATCCAATAAAGGAAGTGCCTCAGAATAACGTCCTTTTGAGTACAAAGACTTTGCCTGCTCAATATTTGCCTCCATATTGCTAATATCATTCAAAATCTTTTGCGTATCGTCATCGTCAGACTTCTATGGTTCCACCAGTAACATTTCAGGCACCCAACTCACCAATATCAATAAGTCTGCCCGAGCCTCTTTCAATTTACCAAGTTTAAGATTAATTTTTGCCCTCTGCTTGTAGGCCTATATCGAAATTAATTAATAAGGTGCACACTACCAGAACGTAGCCAGGATTAAGTAAGACAGTTTTGTCAATATCGGGTAAAGCAGATCTTAGCTTCCCCATTGCAATATAAGCAGTCGCTCTTCTATAGCGCGCCATATAATTATTCGGGTCAGCCTCTACGGCCTCGGAATATAGGTCGAGAGCTTGCTTAAGCTTTCCATTTCCTAGAGAAATTGTTCCTTGTGAGAGCAATGATTCCACTCTCTGACTACTTTCTGATACAAAGCAGTAGACTAAAACGTTATCACAGAAGTATATGCATACACAAAAAGATGACAAATCGCAGTATACCAAGCGGACACGCGGAGCTGCAAGCCTTAAGCATGGTTTGTGCACACAATATTGGCGACTGCAACCAATCCAACACAAGTCCGTGTGTCTGCAATTAATTGGATATAGTTCAACAAATAAACAAGAAAGCGCCATTGTAATCCCTAGTATAATCCTTGGATCGTTTACGATTTCCACCCGAAAAATATTGCCCTCCTCTCACTTTATGTAGCATGCACCTTAAGGGTTGGCTTAAAACTGTTATACTAAAGAAATGACTATTATTAGCCTTTTGCTTATATGACGTGAAGACTTCCCCCAAAGATTGTATGCATAATCAATATGGAGGCAAAATCTGTTTTTTCTTTATTTCTTCTTTATAACTTATACATGCACTGTTGTTTAATTTGACGTTGGCAGGAAGAAGGCGGAGCATAATTGGAATGTGAATTCCGTGTCGTAGGGGTGTGAGGATCCCTCTCCCGGTGATATCCGCTATTCAGCTCATCTGTACCTCTCTCCTTGTATTTCGGACATCTAGTTAGTGTGATGAGCGAATTGGAGTCTAGCGTAAATGATGGGGGCCGGATACTTATTACTTCAATACAGTGATAATTATAAGGACCAAACCTCCCTTTCGGTAGTGTGAGGTGTTTGTTTACATCAGGCAGAAAAAGTAGAAACGTGGCTCTGGGTTAGCCCAAAGTTTGGTCCACGCAGTCATAGGCAAGGGGAATACCAAGCGGTTCGTCAATTATACATTTGTCAATTAGACGAGACACCACACGGTTCCTCTCTTTTGAGTGATGTATTTGGCGCTTCCGTTGATGCATCTTTCTCACCATCTATCAAAAAGTATTCGGTGCAGCAGGATACCCACGAGCTAGCCGTATCAATGATGGAATGTATTTGACTTTCTCAGCAACATAAACTGGACCTGGATGTAAGTTCGGTCAGGAATCAGAAGCGTGAAATTTTGCTGTACATCACTGAAATACGGGTTTGAAACAAATTTATAAGAAAGAAAACCAGATCAAGTACGAAGATTTTGTGCATGGTTATCGTCGACATTTGTACGCGGATCTAGAGATCCCAATACAAAACTCTCAGATGACTCATTTGTCGCTTCAGTTGTTGATAGCTTGGCAGTGGTAAACAGGAATGCAGTCGCTACCAAATGCAAGAGACGTTTTCAGTTCTTCTGTAGTAGAGAAGCTAGAAATTCTTCCACTCGAAGTGTTAAATTTTGCACAAACGGTGGAAACAAGCATGTTAAACATAACTTTCCAAGACTTCTCGTCCAGTAGCAGAATGGCTTGGACATGGCTGAGTATTTATATTCAAACAGAAGAGGTAGAATTGAATTTATGGCCTGACTCGAAGGCCAGCCCACCCCAGCCAAGAGCAAAATTAATACCATGAT